AAGGAAGGAAGGAAGGAAGGAAGGAAGGAAGGAAGGAAGGAAGGAAGGAGGGAGGAAAGGAGGGAGGGAGGGAGGGAGGGAAAGAGAGGGAGGAAGGAAGGAAAAGGGAGGGAGAGAAGAAAGAAGGAAATGGGAGGAAGGGAGGGAGGGAGGAAGGAAGGAAGGAAAGAAGGAAAGAAGGAAAAATACATTACATGTAGAAAATGATTGATCCTAATTTTTAAACACTTCATTAGACTGTGACTACATGAAATAATACTGGCAACTCTTTCCATTACATTGATAGGAGAGCCAGTTTATAAAAAGAAAATGGATTCATTGATGGTCCAAAATTGCATATATGAGGCTATACTGTCTTTCTGGCACCAAATATCACTCTGTTTTGCTCGGACTCCTCCATGCTCAATAAATCCAAAAATATTCATGTACTGATAGGTTCCAATTTTTTGATATAAAATTCAACATAAAAATGTGATGTATGTTCACATATTTATATGGTATTTCTCTTTGCCATATGAACAAACTTATTTATATTAAACCAAAATTGGCAATGGTGGGACAAGCCCAAATTAACTCATGTAACCTTCCTAGGATAATTATGTTGATAGTCAATCATTTTTGTTAAATCCCTAAAGTGTTCAGTAATTGTAGGCAAAAAATGTTGAATTAGCCTCATCCTAAGATGTTAAGAAATACACCGCATTCTCTTTTAGACTCCAAGTCATCGATTTGATAATATGGGATACTGATTTTCTTTATTCCGGAGTTCTTGCAAATAACTAATATACTTTTATTGTTCTTTTAAAAAAAAAGAGTGTAGACTTGAGATCACCCAAAACACATTCCAATATTGATAGCAATTTGGGAGTTTTAAATGCTGGTAATGCCTCTGGACCAACCTGAGTAATCAAGAGATCCTTTAATTGAATATCAAGACATTTTGTAATTTTAGTCAGCCCAAATACTTCTTGCAATAACTGATACAGTTTAAAACTTGATTGCCAATAAGCTGGTCTAAAGTATTAAAGTTTTTGCCCAGGACTTCCTGAATAAGAGATTTACCTGCAGTTTGTAAAATGAGGTTATGCCAGGATATAACTTAGTCATATAAATAAAAGCTGAATTTATACCAGCTGTTTTTATAGATTTAAGATAAAGAATTTTTGAGCACAAATGCAAGACAACCTATATTCAGTTAGGAAAAGCTTTTATGAGTATTAAACAGGAACTTAATTTCTTTTATGCACTTGAAACAGAATTTTCATTGAACTGTAGAAATCAAAGATATTGGAGCGCTGTAAAAGCTCTGGTAAATTACTAGTCTCTTGGCTGAAACATTTCCAATATTATCTCTACTACATAATCATTTCCATAGTAAAATAAATAATCCTGACAATAAATCAACTTTATATTCTCAACTGAATGAAGCCGAGTCATATGTAACCAAGGAAGAAATTAATCAAGCTTTATAATGTTAATAGTGGATTTGGAGGGTGGGGTAAAGATATACTTACATATGATCTTGTAAAAAATGGGTCAACTTTTCTGCAACTGAGAGTGTGTTATTAGAACATGGTTCAATATAGCTGTATTATCAATATTACAACAAATGATCGTGATATTGGAAAATGATACAATCAAGACCAACTCTTACATTGAACTAAAAAAAAGTATATTCTTCTTATAAAGGATTGAAAGTCACCATGCACCAATTGTATTCCAATTTAAATGAGCTATTGTTATCTGATCCACAGCCAAAAGTTGTTTAAGACATCTTTGCAATATCAAGAGAATCCTTAATAGGACCATAATAATTAAAAAATGAAGCATATTTCAATATTTTAAAGTATCTTCCCAGATCACTTATTTCCTATTCCACCGCAAATGTTAAGTGCTATTAACATATGTTGAGTTTCTGCACTTGACCAACCTATCAGTTAGATAAGAGAACATTTTCTTATGGAAATTATGAGTTTCTAGTTTTTTTTTTAAAAAAAGGAATTTTGTAATGTAATTTATAAAGGAAAAAGCAGATTACATTAGATGTAGATACTACAGACAATTAGGTACAATGTGTATGATATAATGTGGAAATTTGCACAGACTGTGAAAAAAATACAGAAATAGGTATATTGGGAGAAACAGACATAACTTTTATGTGAGTTCAGTATATAACTTGTGGTCAATAAAAGAACTAACTATTCCTACTTATATATTTAATGCTTTATTTTATTCCAAGAGGAATTACACTGATTATGAGTTTTGCAGGACTGCACTTTAGAAATCCTGTGAACAAATATGAATGAGCAATTAATTCTTGTTTTAATCAAGTTTATGTGATTTCACAGTGTCCTAGGAAGGTAACTTTCCACCCATCCACATGAGTTTTGGTGAATATCTGAAGATAATAAGAGAATATTTGTCCTTATAATCTTTTGGACTGCTTTATTTGGACTTGCCCTATAGAATTTGGGGAACTGTAATCCATGCTGAAAATTTTCTGTGATAGCGCCACAGTCTTCCTCTCTATATTCTTTGAACAATGATTTCTAGAATGACCCCAAGAAGCTGGAATGATTATTACACTATCCCGGTCAGCCCTCCAGATTGAGCATGAGTTGGCAGTCTTTTCTGGGCCCCATGATCATGTCTGGTGTCCCCCTTCCCAACTCAACATTTCACCAAGTCTTGTGTGGAAATCCCAACATCTCACAAAGGTCTGATGGATGAATGTTGAAACCTCATATGCTTTCTACATTCTCACTAGTTTTGCAAGATCTTACCAGAGCTTGCTGAAATCACACTAGATTTCATGATCTCATGATATTTTGGTGGAATATGGACTGCTTGCTTTTGGCAGGGTGCGGGTGACTTTGGAGAGATCCATAGGTGACACACTCCTGTAAATAGAAATCCAACACATGATGAAGAAGCATGACCACACCTTCTAGCCTTGCTCACAGCGTGATTGCCCCAGCAGTCTCTTGCTCTTGCATGTCTGGTGAAGATCTGAAAGGGAAGCCATTTATTTTCCCACTGGCTTCACCAGAAGTTGGGGCATCTCATCCCATAGGTATCTCCATAAGATAGGGAGTCCTGCATGACCAACTTGTGGTCAGTCTATGAATGTATATTAGCTCATCTTTCAGGTTTTCCTGGAATGCATAAAGAAGTCCCAGGGCCCAGTGATTTGTGTCTTAGGGCTGTGGGATATGTAATGTTGGGAGTAGAAATTCATTCATGACTAGGGTTTATTCAGAGAATATGAAAGTTGGTTGGGAATGTTTATTGAGTTCAAAACCTTCTCAGTGCAGGAATCCAAATTAAATCAGCACCAAATAGCAGCCTACCCTCTTCCTGCACACATTCAACAAAAGGGAGACCAGCACCTTCACTATGATTAAACCTGTTTAGGCCTGTTCTGTAGAAGTATGTCCCAAGTTTCTGATGTCAGGGTGCTGTTGCAACACAGGCCAATTGTGGGAGTTAACACTTGTCCCTTTCTTCTTACAGGACTTGTACCTGCCTCTATCCTTGGATGACTCTGATTCTCTTGGAGACTCCATGTAAAGGAAACCCAGTTTCCTGTGTCCATAGTACACACTCTGTTTTAAATGCAGAGGAGTACTTCTGCCAAATGGAGCAGAGAGGTCACTGGTGCTTGCAATCAATCCAAGGACACAAAAGTGATGGTTATTCTTTCTTTTCTTTTCTTTCTTTTTTTTCCTCCTATGATTTCTCCTCTGTGTCACAAATCCAACACGATCAACTGACAGAGGCAAAGAGATACCAACCATTTACAGAACTTCACAGCAAACATAAAACGGCCATTCCTGGTTGTTTGAAGCCAGAGAGAAGTAGAACATCACGATCTTATGGCTTACTATTCTCTCTCTTTGTACTCTGGTGCAATGACACCATGATGGGCTGTCAGTGTAGAAAAGAGATGATTTGCTTTTCAAAATATTCCATCAGCAGATGGGGCAACGCTGCCCCTAAACCTCAACCCTTCCCACCAGCTCCTTTTCCGCACATTCGTAGTTACCAGCGACGCTTCCAAAGCGAGCTTCTTTCCAATGCTACTGTGTTGAATTTAATACCTTCCTATTATCTGAACTTAATTTATGCTCACAGCCACCAAGGGCTAAATCCATGATGTTAATCAGGTCAATATATGACAGCATCCTCAAAAATAAACAAACAGCTCCTTATGGTAGTTTTGCTGCAGGATCCTTAAAGCAGGATCTTTTAACTGCACTGGATTTTTTTTAAAAGAAGTGGCAATAAAAAAAAAGAAATGGTTTGGTTGATATGAGGTTACTGAAAGTGCTGTATGGTATCTCTTGATCTCTGAAAGATTCTTAATGCCTTGCAAACAGCCAACACTGAAAACACTGTGAAGGTTTTGTTTTCAGGTCTCTAACACTTCTATGTTCCTACTACTATTGCTATTGCTGTTGTTAATATGAAATCAGTACACTTTTATAGAGGAAAAATGACGTTAGCTATGTTTTAGAGAAGCAGTTCTTCAAGCTTCTACTTTCTTTCTTTTTTAAAAAAGAAAAAAAAAACTGGTGACTTGGTTTTGCTGAAAAAAATGAAAACGAAAGACAAGTGTAGAAAAATGTTCCACGCAGTGAAGCGTTTTCGAAGTTGCTGCCAAATTGGCATTTGAAATAGGAAAAACAGGGCTGGCATCAAGAGTGGGTGGGGTTGGGGGGGTGGGCTGTTACCCTTCACGGAGTATTTTGAGAGGGTTTGTAACATCAGGGGCATCCAGGGGAGTCAAAAAAGTCAAGATGAGTGCTGTCCCCACGTGACTGGAGCTCTGACTGCTTCTTATGTGCGTTGCAGGCGCAAGGCACATCAAAGCAGGCAGGGCTTCAACTGCATGGTCCTGGGTACCATGTTGATTTTTTGCCTCCACCCCCAACCCCCCCATGCACAACATGCTCAACGTACATTGTTGTTTTCGGTATGTTCAAGTATCCCAATTAGGGTCTGGAGGCTGTACTTTTGAGTCCTCTTTTATATGAAAACAACACATTTGAACAGAATGCAAAGCATAAGCAAGCTTTTCCCTTTTTCATCATTGTAAATGCAACATTTGATACAGGGCTGGCCATTTTCCCGATGCCTTTTTATCGGTGCTGGATGGCGAGGACTGCCTTGTTCCTGATTCATCAAGATAAGTGCTTTGTTTTTTAATTCCCCAATCTTTCCATTTGGGGTGTTCTGCTTTTTTTGCAACCCCTTTTGAACTTAGAATCTGTAGGACAACCGTTATCAGTAGTTCGTTCATTCCTTTTCATCGGAAAAGCTGCTTTGGGCAATTTGCATGAAATGGAAAGGTGAGCTGAACAGGCGTGCTTTCTAATGCTTTCACTTGGCTACTTAGCTCCATTCGTTGCTCACCCAGGGGGAAAAAGCATTGCCTCTTTCTTAAAATGGCTTGGTCTTAACTGCTGGTTAAGAGTTTTGCATTTTTCACCACTAGCGATTTTGAGATTTCTATGGTGATTGTGTGGGTGAGCCAAGTATTAAGATTTCATTGTTTAAGAGAAGGTGTCAGATGATTGAGTGGCCTGTAGTTGACAACGATCCTGCATCACAAAGACAAGTAATACTGAACCCATTGCTAGCCAAAGCAGTGTCTAGAATTTCTTATCCACGTTGTTGTTTGGTCTGACGCATCCAGTAAACATTGGTTCAGAGGAACCACTTTTCTTGTAGGATCACAGTCAAATCACCATGGGGAAGGCTGACCTTGAGGACAAAGCACAGACAAGATCTATAGGAGAATTTCCCATGGTGTGTTTGACACCTAGCAGATCTAGTGTATAAATTGGAGCAGGTCTCTTAATTTCTTGGTGCCTCAATTTACCTTATCTGTCAAAATAGGGACAGGAATACTTCTCTACCTCATGGGGAGGGGTGGTTGGGTTGGCAGGTGAGTCATTTTGTTAACGCCGTAAAATACATTTGGTGGAAAAGTACTTATGGCTTTTGAAGGGGCTTGTTTTGTTGATTCCAGGGATGATAGACCTTCTTTCTACAGACAGCCAAGCAGCCCTGACACCACAACTAATCAGTGCACACTGTGAGCTTTTACTGTTGTCAACTCCAGAAAACAGGAACTGATCTCTTCCTCCCAGATCTGGCAATGGTGGCTCTGTCCCTCAAGAGATTCTGAATCATGCTTACAAAGGTGACCTAAATTGTGAACTGCTTACAGTAACACTTGTCAACCTGGAGATAAGCTTTGTTTGCAACACACTCACTTTGCTCCAGTTTTGATCTTCTGCTGTCTGTTCTCTCCCTCCTGAAGGGTGCTCTCACTTTGCCAGTTGCATGTGATCAGAGGACCTATACTGGCTGGGAAATGAAACCGAGAGATTCCTTTCTGCTAAAGGTGATAGTGCTTCATGACAGCACTGCCTCTTCCTAACGTTGAGGCATCGTGTGAATCCAGGTCTAAAAATCTTGATGCCTTCAACCCAATCTTTCCTGGCTCAGTAGACAATAAGCAGTGGATCTCCATCAAACCTGAGCCATGGAGAACACACCCTCTCCCTCCCTCTTTCTCTCTCTTACACACATACACAAACACACACACACTCAAAATACATTTATAGATGTTTGGTCTGTTTGATTGCTGTTCTTGGGCAATGCCCTAGCATCAAGCCTATCCTTGATAGTAGTACTGTAGAGTCTTTTGAATGTTAACCTTCCTCTTTCAGAGATGACAAACTTAGACTGTTTCTATCTGCCACAAGAGCTCAACAGAATCTCCGAAGCAGCATAGTTCTGTATGTAAAACGCTGGGAACGTGTAGTAAGGAGAAGCCACCATCTTTATCTCTAGTTTGTAAGCCTTTGAGAAGCTCATAGACAGGATGTTAAACTAGATCAGTTTTCCCCAGCCAATCTGCTTCAGACTTCCACCTCTCTGAAATCCCAATGAGAATTGAAATTCCTTTAGACATGCAGGCTGACATTTGGACAGCTGAAAACTGGATGGCATTTTAGTCCAATCCAGTAGTGATTCTTGATCATTGTTTACCTGCTATAGTTTCCTCATTTAACATCTTTGCAAAAATGCAGATCTGGGCTTTCATTTTTATTGCACTTAATAATGGCATGTCTGAAAGATTGATCCAATGGGAATGTCATTGCCTGAAATGTGCCATGCTGTGCGTTAGTTCTGAATCCAGGAATGGTGAGATTCAGTTTTTGTAAGCGTTCACATTGTCAGCATTCAGAAAATCAGAGGCCTAGTCGATGAAAAGTGAAGGTTCTTCTTTCCAGAAAAGAAATGGGGGACGGGGGGAGCCATTCAAAACTTGCAAAAGTGAAACAGGGTAAAGAACTCCCAGGTTTTAGAAGAATCTTTCAGGTAAATGTTCTTGAACTGTAGGTAGAAATCAGTGACTATGTCAGATGTAAAACTGCCTATATAGTGGATGTTGCATGAGTCTTTGTACAAAATAAATAAATTAAAATGCATGCAGAATAGCCATATGTACCATGCTAGATGTGTTCAGCTCCAAACTCATCAAAAAAATAGAGGCTACAGCGCATTTCTCTTACAGCTGATTCATTAGTGCAAACAGATGCCACCTACTTCATACAGACTGATTGTATTATGGCAGACAGCAGCAGTGAGGGACTATAACAGCAGTTTTCAATACGCTAGCTCAAAAATTGAGCAAACTTTTGGTGGCTAAGGGTGGTACTTAAGGAGGGGAGGGCTGAGGGCCCCAAAGTAGATGGGCCACCTTATCATACATGTGGGCGAGGCTGATGTTTGGCAGGGGAGGGCAATTCTTTAATTTTTGTTCAGCCCTTATATGCCTACTATAGGATTTCCACCACAATGTTCATGCGCTTCCTATTTCAAAATATCAGTTTTCTGTAATCACAGAGGGAACTCAAGGGCCACAGAAAGGTGATGGGGTAACTTGTGGCCTTGAGGCTACTTTTACCCATCCCTGCTCTAGCTATAGGAAACTATGTTTGGCTTCTTTTTGAGGAACTCTTGCACTTGAGAAGATGCAGGATAGGGGTGGAGGAGGAACATCTAGAACAAAGCTTTGGCTAAATTGCACCCCTTGGTCACATATAGTTCTTTAGCCCTCCTCAGGTGCCTGCAACTTTGCTTGTCCATGCCTGTCTGATTTAACAATCTATGACCACTGTGAATTCCTTTAAGGTCCCTATTGCAGCCCAGCCCAGAAGTGTACGTCTTCACACTGCAGAAGACATTCTTGGAAAAAAGCCCTGAATGGATATTCCCAGGCTTTTGTTTTGCACAAGTGGCTGCCTGTAATCAACATACCTGTAAAGCGTACCACCTTTGTCAATAATGAATAGGGTTGCTTCTTCTTAGTCTTGGAAGCTCATGAAATACGAAGCACATGTTGTAGAGGCTACTGTGATGTTCTCCTAGCACTGGCCCTACTGTGAGGCAAAGGTGAGGCAGCTGTCTTGAGGACAGATTATGGTGACTTGAAAGGGCAGATCAGTGGTAAATGTTCTCTGTCAAGAACTGGGAAAGGTGGCTGGAAGAAAGGTGGCTGTACAATTCACCAAAGACTGAGGTAGAGCCATTCCATCCTTTACCTTTCCTCAGAACGTTTTCCAAAACAAGATGGTTGCATCTATTCTGCCACAAACAGTCAATTAAAATTATTTTTTCCACAGGAGTAAAGAAGAGCTAGTCTGTTTGTTTCCAGAAACCATCATGTCAGGTGGCTTGTAAAGGAATTTTAAGTAATTCATGTAAATGCTGGCCACTCTTTATCAGAGAGACCAAGTTCTTAGACAAGATGTTCATCAGCCATACTACTGATGGTGGGATTTCAAGTACTGAAGTTTCACATATTTGAAGGGCAATGGGATCATGACATAAGAACATAACATAAGCAGGGCTGTGCTGGATTGGACTCAGGCCCATCTAGTCCAGCAGTCTGTTCTCACAGTGGCCAGCTAATTGCACAAGGAAGCCTACTAGACCCCCAGCAAATGGCCTTCAGAGGTAGTCCCACTGCCATCAAAGCTAACAGCCATTGATGACTGGTGTAAATAATATTGCACTGCATGGGTGATTAGAATAAGGGATTCCTTTATATGTTTATGACCTTTTTGTCCCTTCAAGGCTCCCATGTAAATATATCCAAAATTCTACTTAGGTTTTCTTCCATCCCTTTGAGGAAACACTCTGTACATACTTTGGGAAGTCTTCTGCAGGTCCTCCAAGATCCAGAGGCTGTTTAGAAGTGCA